TTAAAATTGTATGGTCGGTAAAAACAACTACCTTGGAGACTAGAAAATATGATATGAATTTATCAGGAGCAAAAACAATAGCTAGAAGTTCATTTTCAATAGTAGTGTAATTATCCTTTGCAGAATCTAAAGTTCTATAAGCATAATAAATAACATGGGCAGCCTTGTTCACCCTTTGTGCAAGGACCGCCCCATTTCATAGTTAGAAGCATCACACATGATTTCAAAAGGAAGGGTCCAGTTAGGAGGTTGGATGATAGGGGTAGAGGTCAATGCTTTCTTCAAGAAATCAAACGTATTTTTGCACTTGTCATCAAGTTGAAAGTGGAGTAATTTTCAGCAAATTTGACAACAGAAGAGATATCTTGCTAAAACCCTTTATGAAGCGCTTTTAAAACCTGCATGACCAAGAAAAGAACAAATCTTGCAAATGCAAGATGGGTAAGGCAGTGTGGAAATCAAACTTAGAAGGATCTACTGAAAATTCCTTTTTTCATAAATTATATGCCCCAAAACAATTCTCTTTTCAACCATAAAATGACATTTTTCATAATTCAAAACAAGGTCGGTTTCAATGAATCTCTCTAAAATCATATTCAAACTATTTAAACATGCATCAAATGAAGAACCATAAACAGTAAAATCATTCATAAACACTTTCATGTAATTTTCAATAAATTCAACAAAAATACTAATCATGCATTGTTGGAACGTGCCAGGAGCATTGCACAAACCAAATGGCACCCTCCTGTAAGCAAATGTGTTGAATGTGCACGTGAAAGTTGTCTTTCCTTGATCCTCTGGTTCAATATGGATCTAAAAGTAACTTAAAAAACATCAAGAAAACACTAATGTGATTTACCAGTCAACCGTTCAAGCATCTGATCAATGAAAGGTAAAGGAAAGTGATCCTTTCTGGTTGTCTGGTCGAATCGTCTGTAAATAATACAAACTCTCCAATTGTTCTAAACTCTAGTGTGAGCAAGTTCATTTTTTTCATTTTTACAATTGTGAGACCAGATTTCTTAGGTACCACCTGCATTGGACTTGCCCAATTACTGTCAGAGGTTGAATATATGATACCTTCTTACAAAAGTTTGGTTACCTATTTCTTCACAACATAAAGAATCAAAGGGTTAAGTCGCCTTTAGGGATGTCTAACTGCTTTAGCTCCATCCTTAAGCAGAATCTTATACATACACATGGAAGGGTTAATACCCGGTATGTCAGCCAAGGTCCATCCAATCGCCTTCTTATGCTTCTTTAATACCTGCAAAAGATTTTATTCTTGATCAAAATCAAGGTTAGATGAAATTATTACTGGTAGCTTTTCATTCCTCTCTAAATAAGCATATTTCAGACTTTCAGAAAGTGGTTTCAGCTCTAAGGAATATGGTTGTTCAATGGACGGTGTGGTTTGGGCAGCCGGGATGTCGAGAACTTCAGCTGTATAAACAACTTCATCTACATTTTTATCTGTAGGAAAAATGTTATCCTATAAGGCAGCATCAGTCTCAACATAAATAGAGTAAATTTTAGTGTCAGTACATGAATCAAAAGAGTAAGTATCATCAAAGTCAGACAACAATGGAAAATAAACTGAAAATAAATCAAAATAATTATCATCAACCAACTCAAAAAGCAATTCAATATGAAAAACGGAATGTTCTTCCACGAGATATTTCATTAGCATAAAAAAATGTTAAATTGCTGAATGATATTACTAAACTCCATGGACATTCTTCCATCATCCACGTCAATTTTTATTTTTGCAGTTGTCATGAAGGGTCTTCCTAAAATGATGGGTGCCCTGCTTGACTTAGTTTCTCCTTCCATGTCCATAATGTAAAAATCTACAGGAAAAAATCAAGTCATTAACTTGAAAAATGACATCTCCTACTACTCTGGCAGGGTAGGCATTACTCTCGTTCGCCAGTTGAATGGTTAAACATGTATTCTGCAAAGGACCAAGATCAAGATTGTTAAAAACAAAATTAGACATGACATTAATAGAATCTCATAAATCTAGCATGTGATTTTTGAATTTACTATCCCCAATGGTACAAGGAATAGCAAAAGTTCCTGGATTCTTGCATTTTTAGGGCATGGCCTAAGTGAGAGCTGAAGCATTTCGCTTAATTGTAACTTTTTCAGGTACTTTAGGACAAGTGAAGGCTGAAACATTTCTTCCCATGTTAACTTTCTCATTTCCCTTCAACCTCCTCTTATGAGTACATAAGTCTTTCATAAATTTTGCATACTTTAGAATTTGCTTAATCACAACAAGAAGTGGAATGTTTATTGCTACCTTCCTAAATATGTCCAAAATCTCCTTATCATTATCTTCCTCATTCATATTTTTAGCTTTAACTACTCTCTATGGGAAGGGAACTAGTGGTACATACTCATTCTATTTTTCTTTTTTACTTTCAACTACAACATCAGAATCAGGTGTGAGCTCAAGTATCTCAACAACTTTGCTATTTTTATAGTGGATTCAACACTCTTTCAAGATCTCAAAGAAATTGCACTAAAATCAGGTCCTTTTGGATTCACTATTGTTTGGGCAGATAGTTGGTTTGATCCTTGATCTTGTTGCATGGAATTCATTGAAGTGGAAAGTTGTCTAATTTGAGTTTGCAAATTCTGAATATTGGAATCAGTTTTTTGTTGAAAGTGGAGATTGTGTACAACCATTTTCTTGACAAGGTCCTCTAGTGAAGGTATAGAAGGTGCAAATATGGTTGTTTGGGAAGGGTTCCTTGGTGGTGGTAGGGGTAACATAAACTATTGTTGGCTGGGTTGTTATTGTGTGGATTGATTACCATATTAGGGGTTTGGATGGTTTCTCTAGTTGGGATGGTGCTTATTAGTGGAAAGGTTAGGGATGAGGTATGTGTATTGGTTGTTGTTCTGAGATTTGAAGATGTTGGTTACATACTCTTGAGGAATATCAGTAATTACACCCTCTTGCAAGGTAGAACATGTATCTATTGGGTGTTCATGAGAAGTGCAAATTCCACATAGCCTTTCTGTTTGAGTTTTTGCTATTGCCAATTGTTTTACCAATGAAGTAAGCTCATAAATTTTTATTTCCAAAGCCTTATTGGAAGAAGAATATTGAATCTCATTAACTCCTTTTGTCAGGACCACAAAATTGTTTCTATTTACAAACTGTTGGGAATTGAGTGAGATGTTCTCAATTAAGGTTTTGGTTGCAACTGGGATCTTATCAACAAGGTCTCCTCCACTAGTAGCATCTAATATATTTTAGTCATAGGTAACAACCCTTCATAAAAGTATTGAATTAGTAATTGTTGAGAAATTTTCTGTTGAGGACAACTTGACATTAACTGGTTGAATCTCTCTCAGTATCCGGCCAATGATTTCATGTAAATATATCTAATACCACATATTTATTTTCTGATCGAAGCAACTCTTGAGGCAGGGAATAATCTTTCTAAGAACACTCTTTTGATATCATTCTAGCTTGTAACAAAATTAGGCTCAAGGTAGTATAACCAATCTTTTGAAGCACATTACAATGAGAATGGAAAGGCTTTGAGCTTTATGTGATCATTTATGATTCCTTTAGGCCTCAATGGTGTAGGACATATGACTTAGAATTCTTTCAAATTCTTATGTGGATCCTCACCTGCAAGACCACTAAACATTGGCAATAATTGTATTAAATCAGACTTTAATTCAAAAGGTGCAGCAACTTCAGGATACTCAATACATAAAGCATTATAATTCACATCAGGTGTAACAAGTTGTCTTAAAGTTCTTTGTTCAACCATGTTATTATAATTAATCTCACAATTAGAATCAAATAAAGTATGGGAGAGCACATAATCATAATCATTATCGCTAATGGGTGGTGAACTAGTGCTAGCCTGGTTTACTCTATGAAGTGCTTGGAAGGTTCTTTCAACTTCAGGATCAAAATCAAACAAGTCAGAACAACCAAACCTAGTAGCCAGAACTAATTCAACAATGCAACAAAAAATGTGAAAATACCGACAATGTCCCTATTAAGTAAAAACAATTGGAAATCAGAAATACGAAAAATTAATCTAATTAAGTCAAATAAGAATTATACAAAAAAAATGGAACTTTCTAAAACTATGAAACTAGAAGAAAGATCATAAAAAAATAGAAAAATGATGAATTTGGGGTTTTGAGGGTGGTGTCTCATAATTTTGTCCCAAAATAAGAGACTTTGATCCATGATTTTTTTGTTGCTAAAATGACACGTTAAAATTTCGATTCAGGAACAATTTTCCTGAAAATTGGGTTTTTGACGCTAGGTCGCGAATTGCCTAAAACAATAAAAATACAGGGGCCAACATGCAAGAACACAATACCTATGACTCTAATATTGGTTAATAACAACAAGAATCCCCGACAAAGATACCAATTTAAGAGGGTTAGAGACCTTATAATAAACACTCAATAATTTGGGGCCTGTCATATCTTCCAAAGAGAGGTACAGTGAAGTTGGTCCGAAAGGATATCATTTCAGCTAAGAGTATGAGATAGCCAATCAATGATATTAAGCTAGGAGTTCAACCGAAATCCCAGAGGCGGGGAAAAGAAAACTCTTTTGCAAAATCACAACCAAAAAAGAGATGTTGGGAATTTTCAGAAGAGGACTGGCACAACGAGCAAGAAGAGTCAAAGATAATACCTTTTTTTATGCAAATTACACCTTGTTGGAAGGATGTTCTTGGAAAGCCTCCACATAAAATTCCTAAACTTCTCTTGGATTGGTAGGTTCCACAACTTCCTCCTCAACCCCTACCATAATTTCTAGAAGGCCCTGCTCTGCAATTTCTCTTATTGTCACCAATGAGATGATATGCAGTTTTGATTGAGTAATCTCCATCATCCTCAAAATTCCAAATGAGTTTATCTTCAATGATTCTACTAGACAGAGGGATACTGGAAATATGTCAAACTTTCTTGGAATCAAAGTTATCCTTAATAATTTGCCTATTTTAAGAGTCTATGACGTGATCAATTAAGGAGTAAACTATGGCATTGACATCCAGGTTACGCCTACGAGAAAGAGGTTTGAAGCTTGGGTTGGAGGAAATCCAATTATCTTGCCAACTCTTAACTTTGGAACCATATACTATTCTCCATCTTGTGACTTTAGTAGCAGGCTCCTTAGCACTAAGAATGCTTCTCCAAGCGTAACTAGAAGAGAGCCTCAATTCTGCGTCTGAAGTTTGGCCCCTGAGGAAGTATTTTCCTTTAAAATTTTGACAAAAAGGGATTGACCACCATTTAGAAGCCTCCAGTATTTCTTACCAAAGAGACTAGTGATGAAATCACATATGCCACGAAAACTTAGTTGAGCTAGGAGTTCCCAACTCAGCCAGTGGACTTTGCTTGCACCATTTTTTTCTCCCACCAAAACTTAACTAACATTGATTTGATCTCCTTGCATATGCCTTCCGGAAGTTTGTAACAACTCATAATGTAACTCGGGTTATCTTGGGCCACCACTTTGATCAAAACCTCTTTCCCTACTCTTGATACAAATCTATCATTCCATCCCTTAATTTTCTTCCAAACTCGCTCCAGAACAAGAGAGAATATGTCTTTCTTAGACCAGTCAAACACCATCGTGATTCCCATATATTTGGAGTGATTATCTATAACTTGAACACCCAACCTATTGCACATTGTATCCCTTAGACCTGCATTCATATTCTTACTAAATGAAACCTCTGATTTATCAAGATTCATAACTTGTCCAGAAGTAAGCTGATACCTAGACAACACATGCAGAGTATGACCAACTTCCGAGTGGTAGCACGAGCAAAGAGCAGACTATCATCTGCGGGGAAAAATAGAAATAACAGGGGTCTTTCTAGCAATCTGAAGACCATGAAAATTCTTGTCAATAGTCTCCTTTTTCAGCATTACAGAGAGGACATATGCACAGATAATAAATAGATAAGCGGATAATGGGTCTCCTTGGCAGAGGCCTCTTTGAGGGGAAGAGATATTACTCAGTTGGCCAATGATGAGGATTTGGTACTTTACAGTGTATATGCACCTCCAGATAAGAGGGACCAAAGACATGGGAAATCCCATTGTTTCAAGTGTATTGGTAACAAACTCCAATTTAAGCCTATCATAAGCTTTGGACATATCTAACTTTAAGGCCATCACACCTTTCTTTCCCTTGCTTTTCTTTTTCAACTAATGGAAGCATTCCATAACTACAAGAGGGTTGTCAGTAATCAAGCTACCTTAACAAAGGCGATATGCTCTTCATCAATGATATATTGAAGGACACACTTGATCCTATTGACAATCGTCTTCTTGACTAGCTTTATGACCAAGTTACAAAGACTGATGGGCTTAAAGTCCTTCGAATAGTCAGGATTCTTCAGCTTCGAAACAAGGGCAATGAAGGTTTTGTTCAAGTTACTTGGGTCCTCCTAGTTATTGAGAATGTCCAGCACATGCCTCCAAACATCATGACCCACAATATGCTAATGTTTCTAAAAAACAATGCAGGGAGCCTGTCTGAACCGGGGGCTTTTGTGGGATTCATTTGCATAAGCGCCTATTTCACCTCTGCCTCCGAAAACCCTGCTCCACACCACTACTTGTGAGTATCTGTCAACTTACCACGAATAATACTACAGACCTAAGGAATTTCAGTTAGGGAGGAAGAAGTGAATATACTTGTAAAATACTCAATCAGGATCCTCTCACGTTGGCTATCACCCCTTCTCCACACTCCAGTTATGTCTTTAAGACGCTTAATCTAGTTAGTTTTCTGCCTTTGGTGAACTTTACCATGAAAGAATTTGGTGTTGTGATATTCATCTTTAAGCCAGTTTGCTCTGCTCCTTAGCCCCCACATAGTTTATTCCACCCTAAGAAGATTGTTTCATTGTTGTTCAAGAGCTTTATACTTACCGATTTTTGCCAATATTAAGGACCAACAATCATCATTTTGAGCAATTCCTCGAGCCTTTTCATCTCCTTAGCAACATCACCCGTCTTATACTCTTCTGTCTTTAAACTTTACCATTATGCCTCATTAGCTTTCTAGAGTTTTATTGTAACTTTTATGCGTAGAAATCGTCCTTTTCTATGAGCTTCCTTTGAATCCATCTCTTCGAAGTTGCCCAGAATGTTGTCAAGCTTTCATGCCACCATCTCAGATCTAAGAACTAGGAGTAGTTCCTAGACCCTCAAACAAAACACATCGAAGTGCACGTTTAAATCTGAAGATTGCTCCTCGCCTGAGATTCTCGCTAGGACCGAAAGCGCTCTATCGAATTTCCATGGACCATTTTTCATCACGAACTCCATATCTCGTTTGGTTGAGAACTTAAAAAGGAATAAGTTCTTACTTAGCTCTTGTATTTCCACTGAATTTTTAAGTTTTCAAACTCTGACCATGGTACTCATAAAAGTTCAGATATTAAAACTATTGTCACTCCACAATTTTCTAGCTAAAAATTACTGGAATGTTTCTTCTCCTCTCACTTCATCCAGAGCAGCTTCAACTCCTTTTTCTTTAGAGAGAGGTATATTCTTCCACCTCTCCATATTACTAAGAGCAAACAGTTTTTAAGGAGAGGTTGTGTGGGTTTTGTTTGTTTGTTCGTTATATATGGATGCGCACTTAATACTTCAAATCTACTACAAGGTGTTGATCCTTTTAGAATAGCACATTCATTGGCATTTTTCACCGATTTTTCCACTTCTTCTATTGTTTTCTTCTTTCTCACAATATTAGTGCCAGATCTTTCTATAATTAGTTGAGTAGCCTTCAATTCACCGGGTTTAAAAAGCAATTTTTAAACACATGCGAAAAACTGAGAATATAAGATCCTTTAAAATCTCAATCTAATATATAAAAAGTTCATATGAACAACATAAAAAACGCCGGGACACTCAACCCTTCTACACTTACGTGACTTTCAAATACCACCAGTAACTCTACCATTCCTAACCGCTGATTAAAAAATGGGTTGAACCCGATGCATCTGATTTCATCTAAATTACAACAAACATTGACCCATATTACACAACACCAACTTTCTATAGCGGCGTGTTAAAGACGCGCACCTCACAACTTCTGAGTCACCAACGCAAAGTAATGGTTTTCGGTAGAAATTCAAAACATTTCCAACTAGATATTCCTTCATTCAGAAAATGAATTAACCATAAACACATTGCGAAAATAACACTTATTTGTACGCTTCTAAAAAAACAATAAAAAACTGGACTCATAGACAAGATATTCGTTTGATTTATAAAATAAAAGTTACACTAACTCAAATATAATTCGAAGAGAGATAATCATCAACAAGAAACAAGCCTACAAACTATGCAATTTAAGAACTTGTAAACTTTGTCACAGCTTTTGTTCCTTCAGACACAGCATGCTTAGCCAATTCTCCAGGCAGAACAAGCCTAACTGCAGTCTGAATTTCCCTCGATGTAATTGTCGGCTTCTTGTTGTATCTTGCAAGTCTGGAAGATTCAGCAGCAAGCTTCTCGAAGATGTCGTTAATGAAACTGTTCATGATTCCCATGGCTTTGCTTGAGATACCAATGTCTGGGTGAACCTGCTTCAGAACTTTGAAGATGTAGATCTTGTATGTCTCCACACTCTTCTTGTTTCTCTTCTTCTTCTTGTCTCCGGCCGCGGCGGCGCCACCGTCCTTGGAGAGCTTCTTTCCGGCCTTTGGCTTCTTCTCAGCCGGAGCTTTCTCGGCTATGGTGGGCTTCTTCTCCTCTGCTGGCTTCTTCTCCGCGGGTTTCTTCTCTCCCTTTGGCGCCATTGAAGGAATTGGGAATTTGGAAATTTGGAAAGAAAATTAGGGTTTGGAATTGGAAATGAAGTAAAACGCGGAGATGAGTTTGAAAGAAAGTTTGCATTGATAGGAATTATATATAAGATGGTTCTCGCGTTGTTATTGGCTTATGGACTTATTCACGGATCGATTACGTGGAACTCCTTTAGCCGTTATACTATGGGTGATAGACGGTCAGATCTTGCTTTGACTCGACTATCTTGAAGATGATATGGGTGATGATTATGGATGCGGATTCCCTTTAATTTAAATCCAACAAAACTATTTTCATTATAAAACAAATCTATTAGTAACTTTTTTATTTTTTAATGGCTTTTTAAAACAGGTGTTTAGAATATTATAAAAATAAATAAATTTATTTATTTTTATTATAGAATGAATTTGTAAAGTTAATGTATTTTTTATCTATATTGTTCTGTAACGGAATTAAAGTTTATCAGCAAATCAGAATGTCGAGTGTGTCGAAGTGGTTTTGAGTTTTTGATGTGGTCGAGAGTGAACTAGATTGCATCGTTAGATTGATTTAGACAACTAATAAAGAACCATTTTGCAAAATGAGGATTTATAATACTTATCTTTGTCCGGTCACTATATCTGGGGACGTGAAGGCTTTTGATGGGACGTCATCGCTCTTGGGAACAGGTGCATTAAATTCCTATCTTGTAATAGGTAATGTTTTGTTGAAAACGACTGATGTGTATCTCTACACTAGTTAGTGATGATGTTCCATCTTCTTAGAGTGCTCAAGTACTTTGAACAGTTTTTCGAGGAGATATTAATTGTTGGTGGTGCGTAGTGGATCGTACGGTCCTTAGTAGACGAATAGGGTATCAAATATTTCTAAAGCCCCATTTTGGCTTCTTTTTTTGTTGCTATTAGTGACCTTCAAGATAGTCATTTATGACTCATTCGTTTTGCGAGCTTCTTTGTTCCAACATTTGATCAAGTCTACATGATCTTTGTTTGTTGGTAAGGTCATGCATGTTTGATTGTTCCTTATTCTTTAAAACAAAGTTCAACATTTTTATTTTGCTTTGTTCCTCTTTTCTATGGTTTTCAGAATAGTGAATGTTTTAACCCTTTACATTCTTTTTGGGAGATTTTCTCTATATTTGGTATCTTGTTTTAAGGGCGCTCGTGTTTAGATTTTCTTGATCATCATATTTTGTGTGTATTTGACCTTACTTCATAGTATTCTTAAATGGATACTGTATCAATCTTGATCAGAAGGGTGAGTAGGGATATCTCAGGTGATTGGGTGGATTGAGACATATTGGGGACCGTTTTTGCTTTCGTTCATGAGGGAGTGTTAGACCGGGCTTTGATTGGCGTATGTCCTCCATCTGATTGGGGAATGTTACCCCTAATGAAGATAAGAGGGTATATAGTAAAAATAATGGATGTATCATACCCTTCCGTGAATGTTTATTCAACTTCATATGCCTTTGCCTTCCTTTCAATGAGTTTGAGGTCAGTGTACTGAACCACTTGTTGATTTCCCATCCGCAACATCCATTGTGTTGGGTGTTAAACATTTCCAACATTGGTGTGAGTACAAGGGGTAAACTAATTGTTATGTTATTCTTTCATCTCTCTGAAACTCAACAATCCAAGCTATGTGAACAATTCAAGCTTGCTCTCCTTGAGGAAAAGCACCATATACTTCAAAACCTACTCTGATAGCGTGAAGAATTTCAAGGATCATGTATTCCTGGTTACTCCTCTTAATGAAGAAGGTCATGCAAAGATGTGCAAATTAAAGCACGGTCCCCCACTAGTGTACAAGAATTCATCATGTGAGTATTTGAGCCATGATCACTTCTTGATTGGGGTAGGATCATAGGTTTATAAGGACGAGCACTTGTCTCAGGATTTTATTATTTTTATGGGGGTGCTTGTACCCGACATATGCAATTATTTGTTGTTCTTATCTTGTAATATATATTTTAGTTTTTTACTTACTCTTATTTTACCTGTTTTAGTCCCTATAATTTTTTCGTTCAAAAAATCGTCCTCATAAATTTTTGCGTCCCTGTCGTGTATTCCACTTAACGGAATCCTACGTAAACACCGATTTGGAAGTTTTTTTAAATTTTGATAAAGGTAATGTTGAATAATTAGACTAAAATTCGGAAAGCATTTATCACACAAAGGGGATTTTCGTTCTTTGAGAAAACCGTAACCGAGTACATCGCTTTCAACTCCAAGTTCTAGGTATGAGCAGAAGGGTCGTTCCATACTTCATTCCTTTCTTCTTCGATCGAATTCTTACAGTTGGTTCAACATAGCCTTTGTAACACATTGTGTATTTTCGTTTTAGTTGCAGAATTTTGTTTCCATATTATCGTGTTTGCTTTGTGGTCCCAGAATCATCTTGAAAGGTGCATATTTGTGGTCCCTCGACATTAAATCTGAGGTAGACCCACATGTTTAACTTTAGATTATATTTTATTGAAGTTTGGTCTAGGGTTTGTATTTTACTTGCAGTGTATTAAGTGAATAGGGTTTTATGCATACAAGTGTTATATGTGGGTCCATTATTGACTGTCCTTTTCCCTCCATTGTGTAGGCATGGGTGTATTTAAGGTAGTATTTTACACAAAGGGTTGTTTTATAAACGACTCAATGTTAAAGTATGAAAGTGGAGAAGTTTGAGCTTTTAATGGTCAAGATCCTCGTTGTTGGTCCTTTTTTAGGCGTGTTATTTAATTAAGGGAATGGATCTTGGGTTTGAATACAATAATGTTATGATGTGTTGGAAAATGGTGATGTTCGTTTAGAAACTGATCTAAAAGCATTTAGGAATGACGGTGATGCATTTGAGTTAGCTACCTTTGCTCAAAACTACAAAGGTGAGGTTGAAATATACAATGAGTTCAAACCAACTAAAGGGGATGCAACATTTATGGAGAACACAAGAAAGAGGAATAATGGGATAAAAAGTGAAGATGATGTTGATTAATGTACTGATGAAGGTTCTAGTTATGAGTCTGTGAAGGATATCAAATTTGAAGATAGTGAAGAAGAAATGATGAATGGATTCGATGAGGCTTTTGGTGGTCAACCCATAAACTTACATGATGCATGAGGCAGTGAAATAGTTTTATTACACTAAAGATAGGTAAGGAACATGTAATTGAAGATGAGTATATGATTGATGAGCTTGATATTGGTGTTGAAGATGATAGTGGTGATGTTATGCCAAATGTTGTTAGGTCAATGAGGTAGATTGAATTACAAAGAATTTTAAGTTCAAGGTGGGGATGGAATTTTCATCATTGAGTAGTCCAAGAGTTATATTTTGGAACATAATGTATAAAATGATATGGATGTGAGATTTGATAAAAATGATATAGTGGGATGTAGGGTGGTTTGCAAGGAAAAATCACAACACTAGGTAGGATAGAAGTTTTAGGTTTATTGCACACAAAAAACTTGTATACCTCTCTCGCAAGTGGGTTCTAGCCTTGAAAAGGTGGTTCCTAAAAGGTCCCCTAGAGTCATGGATCCAAGTGGAAATACATCACCATAACGAAAACTCGCATGACAAATTTACTTCCAAGTGGACCTAGTTTAGGTGTGGTTCTCGTGCCAACCTAGTAGGGTATGCACCCAGTAGGCCGACACAACTATCCATAATTCTAACATGTGTGTAACTCAAGCATGGGTAGTGGGATTATCTCTCAAAAGTATCACCAATCCCATAAAGAGAATATACAGTATATCCAGAATATCATGAATATTATAAAAGCAATAAAGTACGATAAATAAAGCAAGTAAAGCAATAAAGATAAGCACCCAAAAAAAACAATGTTGGGACTGACTTACTTAGGTACTTCCCAGCTGAGTCGCCGGTTGTCGTGCCGCAAAAAATAAAACAGAGTCGCCACTGAACTTTATTTATTTCAAGAAGAAAGGGAAAATATTGAGAAAACTCCAAAAGGTGAAGAAATAGTCTCACAACCAAATTAAGGTTCGGAAGTCAGTTATGCAAGGGGGATGTATTAGCACCCTTCACATCTGTTGTACTCAACGGGATCCACTTTATTTTTTGTTCTAAGGGTATTGTTATCTAAAGTTTTACTTGCTATGAATGATAAATAGGAAAATAAGAGGTTTAAATTAGTGAGTTCGCCAAGATCTTGCGATCTTGTCCCTACGTATCTCCATAGTGAAATAGAGAAATTAGAACTTCGTAGTTCTGCTAGAAAATAGTGTTTGTTAATTGTTTTTAGTGGACGATGTTACGCTCACATTCTAACAATTAGACATTGTCGCTCGTACTTTGAGACTTATGAGTTGTCGCTCGTACTTTGAGACTTATGAGTTATTGCTCATGCTTTAAGACTGATGTGTTACCTGTATTGCGGTAGAACGAAAATAACATGTCTTTTTTCGAAAAGAGTTTGAGCTTGCATGTCCTTCGGCTGAAAAAGAAGTTTGATGAGTTGTGATTAATTTCTAGGGCCCATATTGTAAAACTGGTTAAATCAATGAAGTCGTCATCATTTATTTATCCCAAGGACGGGGAAACTATAGGAAAATCCTAAAGGTACAGATAAAGCGGTCATCGCGACCAAGTTAAAGGTTTGTAAGTCTGTTAAGTGAGGGGAAGGTGTTAGGCACCCCTCACCTCTGTTGTACTCAATGGGAACTGTTGTACCCCAAAATTTGCCCTCTCATTTCTCAAGGAATCACCCTGGATCCTCAAGTTTGCTTCCATCCAATTCTAAGCCTTGAACTACAATTGTTCAAGGAAATCATCCATAAGGGGAAAATGGTCAAAAGCACACTGAAAAGTCAAACTTTAACTTTCATATCAAATCAAGTTTCAACAATTTTATTTCATCAAGACATAAGATTGATTCATCAAAAATCAGGAGTCAGAAGTTACTTTGGAAAAATCAAATTTTCTAAACATTTAGAAAATTTTCTAAGTGTTAAGTATGTGATACTTCAGAACTTCT